CTATAAAGCCTTAGTAAGACCACACCTAGAATACTATATCTAGTTTTGGTCACCACACTATAAAAAAGATGTTGAGACTCTAGAAAAATTGCAGAGAAGAGCAACCAGGATGATTAGGAGACTGGAGACTAAAACGTATGAAGAACAGTTACAGGAACTGGGCATGACTAGTCTAGCGAAGAGAAGGACCAGGGGAGATATGATAGCAGTGTTCCAATATGTGAGGGGCTGCCACAGAGAGGAAGGGGTCAAGCTATTTTCCAAGGCACCTGAAGGCCAGACAAGGAATAATGGATGGAAACTGATCAAGGAGAGATTCAACCTAGAAATAAGGATACATTTTTTGACAGTGAGAACGATCAATCAATGGAACAGCTTCCCTTTGGAAGTTGTGGGAGCTTAATCACTGGAGGCATTGAGGAGGAGATTGGACTGTCATTTGTTAGAAATTGTGTAGGGTCTCCTGCTTGGGCGGGGGTTGGACGAGATGACCTACAAGGTCCCTTCCAACTCTGTTAATCCGTTAAGGTGCCTCTCCCTAATAGTTCATAAAGTATACTGCAAATGCATATAGTCAAGTGCTCTGTCTGGCAGCATTTTACCTATAAGTGTAAAACGATAAGGAACTCAACTTATCCATGTGTCATTTTTGGTTGCCGGCCTGACAGAAGGTTCCTTCTGAAACAGTTGTGTAGTTTCCCCCCACCTGTGAACTGAGGTTTTCCCCTACTTAACAGACTGGGATGGCCACAAATGTTGTCTACAGCCTAAGAATCATGGTGGTGCAGTGATTAGAATGCAGTATTGGGTTTCTATCCTGATCGGCTCAAGGTTGACAGCCTTCCAATTTTCTGAATTTGGTAAAATGAGGACCCAGATTGTTGGGGACAATATGCTGACTCTGTAAACTGCTTAGAGAAGAATGTAAAGCTCTGTGAAGCTGTATATAAGTCTAAGTGCAATTGCTATTGCTGGCCTGCAGATCTTCTAACTTTCAGAGTCATTCTCACATATTGTCTTTGGGAAAGGCAATGCTGAAATTTATTTCTGATACTGATTGATTGGTGAAAACTTAAAACAATGGACTAGCAGCATGGGTTCCTACTCATCTCTTGTTCAAAAAATAACAAATGATAGAGTACTCCATCCAGAGACTGATGCACATAATATTTTAGTTACATGTGGCCCTAAACTTATTTGACTTATTTGTTTAATGATCATTCAATGTTACAACAGTACTAAGAAGAGTGACACAATCAGTCTTTGCATCATTAGGATCACATGTTCAATATTTGGGTAGCTGGCTTGTATTTACAATGGTTGCAATATCCCGGGGCTAATATAATCATCATTTGATTATAAACAAAATTAAAAACAAAAGTACTCTTTCTCCTTCAGGCTAATCATCCTCACCACTCGGGCCCTATCCTGTCCCAAACAGGACTTCATAGTCATTTGGGAAATGAAAAGGGCAGGAACCCCTCAGATCTCAAGTACCAATTGTTCCAAAGGGCTGGGGCAGCCACCAAAAAGGCCTGTCTCTGAGGTCCCATCAGATGGCAACATTTAAAAGGAGGGGACTTGGAGTATGCCTACCCTAGTCAACCTAGTAGGATGGGCAGATATTCCCAAGGAGAAGCAGTCCTGCAAGTAACCTAACCCCATTTCATTATTGTGCTTAATTTTGAAAAACACTACACAACTTCTATTGGCTCAAGGGCCATACACATGTTGAGGGATGTATTCCAAAAATGGAGAGTATAGAACTCAAGCCTCGGAAAAAGGCTTAAAAAGGCTTTTCTCCTAGTATAAAATGTATATATTGATTTTCTTGCCAAAGCCATTATTTTGTGTTGTTCTAGGAGCCACAAAAATGATGCTGGGGCTGCATGTGCACCATTTTGCACCACTTTGGGCCACCATTTTCTGTATTCCTAGCTTATATAAATTGCTGGTCATCTTCCTCACTTCCAGTTTTATGAACAGCTTAAAGCTCCATTATAGCTCATTATTTTCCTTTGGAAGAATTATTATTAAATTGTTTATTTTTGTCATAATTGGCTTATTTAGATGCATAAGTGAAATATAGACAGAGGCAAGAGGCACACCTAGCTGGAACTTGGTTCAGCTAGTGTCTGTAAGAGATACTTATACTCCAAGATGCTGCTAGAACTCATGACTAGTTCTTGGTCAGCTATACTATGAGACTAGACTAGAAATTAATTCGACAAGTAAGGCTAAAGCTATTTTTGTTAAGATTGGCTAGAATAACAGAATCTTGCAAGTCTTTATTTGTAATGTTCTGGACAAGATTTGGCCATTTCACAATATTTTAGCTATACCTGTAAATATTGTGTGCGTGTGCGCGCACAACATGCACCCAGGCATGTATGTGTACCTAATTTGTCACCTACTCTCAAACTTCCAGTCAAACAGTAATTCTCAAACCACAGTTGTAAATTGGGTTTTATGTATTAAGGTTTCAGTTGTAGGTGGAAGTTTATAAACAGCCTGTAACCACAAAATGAAAACATATCCATTTTAAAATAAGTAAGTTTAAAACTTCATATTAAAATGGATATACTCACATACCAAGAGAAAAAAAAGACACAGCAGATTTAAATTTTTGTAATTTCTTGGTATTTTGGTGTCTACATGGTAGCACTCACTTTTTTAAAAAAAAGATGTTAAGTTGCAGCTGTAGGGAAGTTTAAAGATCACAATTTAATAAACTTAGCACAAACCTGAGGTCATTGAAATCCTAACATTTCATATTTGAAACCATGTTAATTGTAGCCATTGAATTGCTTCTAGAACTAAATTGTTCTTGCGTAACAACAGCCATTATTTTTTTCTTTAATGTTATTTTTATGTTATTACAGAATGTAGTTACTATTTTTCCTTCTTCAGTCTTAAAAAGCCCCATTAAAATTATAATAAACATTTTTAAAGTGGGGTGTTTTTCCTTAATCATTTCCATAAATTAAGAGTTTCGTTTTTTGTTTTGCTTTTCTTTTTCAAGCCAAGGATCACATATGGCCTTTGAAGAATGTTTGTTTTAAACACCATCTTGGGCAAGTGAGAGCAAAATTAGAATATATAGTGTCCCTGAAATATAAACACCTTGCAAATTTTTTTAAAAAAAACTTATTTCCATCATCCCCTTTTTTATTTTTCTGCTTGGTTTTAAGCTAATGCTGATTAAACATTGTTCATCCCCCCCCCCTCCCTGCTATGCCTTTCTGCTGTTGGTTAATACGATATTTTTAAAGAACTATTTTATTATTTTTTCAAACTGTTTTCACTAACAATCTTAACATTATTTTCCTTTTACTCCTTTTTAAAAGGTTCATGCTTGAGGCTGAATCACCAACATGTGCATTCAAATATGTCTTTTTATGTTGTCCCCTGCTTCATTTCTGGTTTTGAATTTACTTGCTTCTGCAAGATACTATACTTGTCTTCATCTCCAGCTTCTTCACTTGTCTGTTTGTCAATGATACATTCTGTTCTTCCGGAAATACTAGTGAGAAAATAAAGAAACTGCTCCACTGAAATTCTTTATACAGTATAGCATTGCACTCTGAATGTAGATGAGCAAGATCCATTGAATTCATGTATAAATGTTCTATTGGTTCTATGGTTACCTAGAAGTAAGTTTAACTTAGCTCAGCCTATCTAAGTATCATCCTTCTACTGACGGAAATCCAGAATTCCACAGTCCAGAAGTTCAGACAAAATAAATTTCAGATGCCAAATTGAGCAAATAATTATGATATCTCACTTATACAAACTAGAAATAATTTGCTTATGTTCTAGTTTACTTTTAATGAATGTATGTGGTATAAAGGACAGCTTGTTACAAATGTACACATATTTTCATTAAATACAATCTGAAGCTTTGGATGTTACTATACTGTCAGATGTTAATACATTTGTAAGAATGCTAACCCAGCCAGAGTGCTTATTATTCATTTAATATTCTCTGGTTATAATTTCTGATAATCATGTTACATATTTTTCTGTATTTTAAAGAATTTAAATTCCTCAACATTAAAAAGTTAAAAAAATGGAAAGAAACAGGTCATTGAAGTGACACAAATGGAATACTTCAAAGAAAGCTTGTGCAATACATTTTCCCTGTTTCCCTCTTGTGCCCTAAAATGCCTAAAATAGGTGATCTTACACAGCCATAATAGAAATGGGCCATGATAGCGACGACAAATGAAGAAAGAAATTTGCAATGCTGTTGCACTATGAGTGTTGAAGACCTGTCAATTATTCCCTTTCTTGCTATATCCCAGTATCACAAAATTCATCAGATCCCAATCCTTGGATACCTACCAAAAATTATTTTGGGGTCTGGTGGGAAGTAGATTCAAAGATCTGCAGTTGAAGAAATAGTTGGCTATCACAAAATATTGTTTTTGATTCTATCAACCCTTTCAGACTTGAAATTGCTGTGAAAATATCAGTTGCTTTTTTTTTGAAGAGATGTAATTTTTTTGTTCGTTTAAAGTTGATATTATCGGTCTATTGCACTTAGAGGGAAATGTTTGTGCAATTAATAGGCTGCGAGTCTAGTTCTCACTAAGGTTTTGATATGACTCATTCATATATTTAATTCTCATGAGTTTGGCTTGTGACAAAATAATAAGTATTGTCTCTGCAGAAAGTGTTATAATTTTCAGATGATATTTTTTTTAAAATGAATTCTATTCAACTGTCTTAACGACATATCCTATGTGAATTAGGCTTTGTGGGTAAAAAAACCTAACGTATATCACAATTGTGAGTAATGATTTTGGATTTTAATCCTAATCTATACATCTATACATACACATGTGTATAGGCCTATTTTAAAATTTAAAAACTACAGTGGAATTTAATCAATACCTATAACTGCAATCTTGAAACAAAATGTTTATAAGTAGATAAATCAGATTAGTCAACCATTCTTTATTTTGATCAATGACCAAAAATAAATCAAACTGTTCAGCAAAGATCTTCTAAATCAATGCACTTTAAGAATAAATAATCTGTATCCTCCATAAATTTTACATTACAATTTCCATCATTTCCATTAATGGACTTGCAAGCTTGCATTGAAAGGAATAGTAGTTCTAATCATTTGGAAGGGCCACTAGTAGACTAGGTCACCAACTTAATAAATATTTGACATTATTTATAAAGTGCTGTTAATGAGCATCAAAGAACTATTTGTACATATAGCATTTCAAATTTTGTTACAAAGAATTAAAATATTTACAGTTCGGAAAGTGTAAAATTAAAGTAGCTACAAACCAAACTACAAATGTAACACATATACATATGCACACAGACACACATATGTACACAAACATGTATAAGCACACACAAACTCCTCTCTAATTTCCTCTGTATAAAACTCTTTCCAGTTCAGCTTCCAAGATTTCTCCCCAGGTATCCACATCCATAGGATACATACATTTTTCTGGTAAATTACTCCGTGACTGAATATTGCTATATTTTCCACTCAGCCATTCATACTTTACTTTGCTTTTCCAGTAGTTTCTATGCAGCGTGACCTGATAAAAGCAATTAGAGAAGAATAGGAAAGAGATATAAATAAAGATACATGTATAAAAAGCCTTCTCTTGCAAGCAATTCCATAATTAGGGGGGGTGGGGTAGAATCAACTCTCATCTTCTTACAAGTTGGCTTCAAGGCAGATTATTCCAATTGGGATTAAGAATAATTTCACTATGTGAAAACTCTGTAAAGTCCTTTCATTAGAAAGGACATATCTATTACACATCATATAGTTTTTGTATTTGTATTGCAAGTCTTTTGAAACCAGTATTTTAAGGGTGATTTATTCTAAGGAAAAAAAAAAAGATTAGAATGGACTTCTAATACATTGCTGCCCACTAGTGATTCATGGAAATGATTACATTCTCATGTTAGAAGTTTCAGAGCTTAAACCAGTGACGGCAAACCTTCTTGTAAACAAGTGCCAAAATTATGTGTGCATGCGCAATAGCATGCGTCCCTGTGCCCCACACCCGCAATGCAATGCATCCCGCCCACCTGCACATGCACGGACAACCTCCCTGTGCAGCAGGGGGAATTGTTGCCCTCCCCAGGCTTCAGGAAAGCCTCTGGAGCCTGGGAGGGCAAAAAACGGCCCCAATGGGCCAACCAGAAGTTCAGAAATGATCTGTTTCTGGCTTCTGGAGGGCCTCCTGGAGAGGGGGGCAGGGAAGGCCGTTTCTGCCCTCCCCAGACTCCAGGAAAGCCTCCAAGATCGTTCCAAACTTCTGGTTGGCCTGTTGTAAAATAGGTATGTTAAATAGTTATAAAGATCTTTGATCTATAGTGGTTGCCAATTGCTTACTAGACAAAACTTAAGGTGCAAAACCTTAAAAGCAATTGCTTACAGAAATATATTGTATCCTGTCATATTTCTTTCTAGTTTTGTCAAAAAATAAGGCAAGTAACATAGGCTTATACTACAGATCAATGTGCCAAGTAAAAATCATAAAAATATGATGAATTTCAACTGTGTCAAAAGACTTAGTGATACAGTGCATGAGATATAAGAAATCATAATATAATCAAGCCTCAATTAAACTTACCTTCCATGAGTACCCTTTTCCTCTGTCACTATCAACCTCTCGCTGACAGACAGCTCTTATATTTAAACAGTGGTGTTTCCATAAATCATCACAATGCTCAATGGTTTGGTTCCAGCTTTTGCAAGTTATTGCGGCATTGCACAAGCTGCGAATGTCAAGTTTGCTAAAAATCTTTAAGCTGACTTCTAGTGGAAATAGTTTCACAAAATCCTCTTGACTGTTGTGTTTCTTCAGTTTGGAAGATTTAAAGAACAATTTCTTACAAGTAGTTGTTTCAACAGTCTGCTGGTTTTGTTTAGATGATTTCTGTTTAGACCCGTTTTTCATAGTTTAGACTGTTTAAATACCATTCAGCCTTTCTGAAAAAAATAAAAGTATCAGAAATGAAACTGTAATCAACTCGATTTAGAAACATTTGCTGCTACTTAATGTCATTAAAACACTATTTCTAGTTAAATATCAGAGCTAAAATATCTATATATAGTGACTGTGAGCACAATCATTTTAGGAATTTTGGCTTTAATACTACTGCTTATTGTTTTCTCTGAATGATACTTTGCCTTTCTTAAGGAACATATGTATAAGGGTGTTTGTGTATGTGTGTGTCCCCATAGAGGTAGGCATATTTTTTTCTATTCAGTTAAAATGGAGCATCTTGAAGTGATACACTAACTGAAAAGTAGCAATTATACAGAGACAAGTTTTCCAATCTGAGCCAAAGGCAATAATTTCTCTCAATTTTTTGTACAAACATCTGAGATATGAAACAATTAACTGGACTGTATTGCTTCAGTGTGAATATGAACCTGGAAAAAAAGGGCAGGGTATAAATCAAATATACATTATTATTACTTTATTAATACACATTACTTTATTATTTTAATTAATATTTAATTAATTACTTTATTTATACACATTACTAATAGACATTATTACTACTTTATTACTAATACACATTATTATTATTCAGTTCCAACTTACATTTGCTTGGAGCTTGAAAGCTAGACAAAAGTTTCTATGACTGCAACAAAAAGGTTTTGGCAGCTGGGCCTGAGGAGCTGTCTGCTTGAAGCAAAGCTACTGCTCTGTGTAGAATGGAGCAGTCTCACTGGCAGTCTCACTGGCAAAAAGGGCCATTTAGGATGATTGGTTTGCTTGAAGGTAAGGATACGTTCATGGTCTATCTGGGTGCATTTATTTATTAATTGATTGGTTAGTTTTATATCCTGCCTTTTCTTCCAGAACTGAAGAAATGAAAAATAAGGGAAGATCACCATGTAAACCATGGTTTACCATGATGATCTTTTATTTTACATGGTGATCTTCCCTTATTTTTTCACATGAACCTTGTGATATAAGCTAGGTTGAGACCAACTGGTCCCAAGCGACTGGCAGAGAGTAGATTTGCAATTGGGCCTCCCAAGCTAAGCTTAACACTTTCATCCATATTCATATAAACTCCATTGTAAGTCAATGATCCTACATAATGGCTGCAGCCAAGGCCTGCAAAAGTAATGATCAGAATCTGAAAATATATGATAGGATAAAATAGTATAGATAGGTAGGTTTATATGTCAAAAAACTGATTTTCTGATTGAACCAATAACTATCATTCTTAAAGTTTTGACTCTTCAGAGTTTTACATGACTTCTGCTTCCTACATAAAGCTCACAGCCTGACAAGAATGGTCTGATTCCTTCTATTACTGTAGCTTGAGGAATTTGGTAGTGTGGTTGGGAGGAAAATTTAAGCGATGCTGTCAATGATCTTCAGCCATTCTTCTAAAAAAAGAGACACACCTTGCCCACCAACTAGCCAAAATACTTTTTTATTTTCTCATAAAAATGCCCGTTAAGGCTTTTGCAGCAAGATGGTGAAAGAGGGAAACCCCACAGAAGCCTAGAATGTCTGGTGGGGCTGATACTGTGTTGCAACCTAGTATTTCAACATCAGGGGGAAAATGCATGAGTACAGGAGCTTGGCAAGAGAGGCTGATTTAGTAATAAGCTAAGAAGTCTTATATAAATGTAAATAAATTTCACCTGGTAACAAAAGAATTGGTAGTTGTTTTGCACATTGTTACAATGCAAAGCAATTAGCAATGTAAACTTCATAATTTTAAAGGGATCAAAAACTATGTTTTTCTCTTTGGGAGTTAGTGACTTTGAACAGCCTTGAGGATTCCTTCCAGAATATTTTTTTTTAAAGTACTGAATCTTACTTTTTAATAGTCATCAAATTAACATACACCTCAAATAAAAATTTCATGCATTGAATTAGAAAAAAAAACACAATCAAATTAAACACACTAATTAGCTCCCTCCTGAAATATGTAAATTTTTTATTTGCACAGTTGCAGCTGGGCTGTAATAAAAAGTGTATATATATGAAGCTTAGGGATGGAGTCCTTGGCACTCCCAGAAGTTTGCACAATGGGTTGTTTGTGGGTGCATATACAATTGTTAGGAATGGCAAACTTTGAAGGAGACTATTTGTAGTTCAGGGTTGCAATGAGGGATCCTTGGTGCTCTCTGAGCTTGGTTGTTTTCTTGCAGATGTTTCATTACCCAAACTAGGTATCATCTATGCTGGTTACTGGGGTAATGAAACATCTGCAAGAAAACAACCAAGCTCAGAGAGCCCCAAGGATCCCTCATTTCAACACTGAGCTACAAATATTCTCCTTTATTGGATGGAGAAAGATTGTACATCTTTGTTCTCAAACAGGTTTGGGAAAATTTTGATGTTCCAGAAATCCCAATTAACCCCAGCCTGCTTGAGAGGGAGTATTTTGGCAACATTTGGAGGGTCATGGGATTGAAATTGTCACTTTTAAAAGACAAGATACATGTAATTCTGTATCAACATCTGTTTTGCAATTAACAAGTTGTCTTCTATAAAGCGTTTTGTTAAGGGGCGGGGGACGGAGCACCAAGGACCCTTCATGGCGAACTTTGGATATTATGACGGGAAATTTGTGCACTTGCCACATCAATTCTGTATAATTTTAGGAAACTGAAAGGAATTCGCCTGAGAATGTACGTCAACAGATTACCACAACGTTCTCGAGACACCTTTGTTCCCAATGACTGCTGGGAACCCCATTCCCGAATACCCTGTCGCCGCTTTTTAATTGCCCCGCTCGGCCCTATTCGGTGATTGGATGCAATCGCCACGTCATCGAGGAACGCAGGAGGCTCGAGGCCGCTCACCTGGTTCCCGGCCCTCCGTTTCCACTAACGGTTTTAACGGCTTCTCCATTCGAATTTGTTTATTTACTTTTTTTTCTTCCTTCCCCATTGCAAATTACGTAATCAGGGATTTCGGAAACACCCGCCTTTGCCGATAAGCATTTTGGGAGCTGTAGTTTGGTGCCGAGGCCGGAATTTCCGTAGTGGATTTGTGGCGCAGTCATGAGTGTGTTTCTCTTAAAAGGCAGCGAGCTATTGGTTACACCGGTATGGTATGTTTCAGTTCAGCAGATAGGAGGAATATATACAAGAAGGACGGTACGTTGCTGTTTTTTCTTCCCCCTTGTGGAATTTTGCATCCGGGGGGAGGAAAAGCGAGAGGCCTGTTACCATATCAGGGTTTCAGTTAGTGCCAGTGGACGTCCTTTGCCGCTGCCGCTCGGGGAGACAGTGATAGCAAGAGGCTCTATTTTGGGGAGTAAGTGCCACAGCGGTGCGCCAAAGGAGTGCCAGTGCCTACAGAGTCCTTTACCTAGTCATGCATTCAAAGCAATGAGACCCACCCCGCTAGTCTATTAGGGGGCTTCTCTTTTGCAAAAGTTTGGTGAAGTGAAACCATTAACCATTTTGTTTGCAAGCAAAAAAATAAAATAAACAAATGGAAAGATGGAAAGGCTAAAAGTGATGTTGCTTGATTGAGCCATTAAGAGTACGGTTAGAGGAATCCAGATCATTGCACCAGATCCAGGGTATATAAAAATCAATTTTTTAAAAATAAAAAAAATCATTTTTTAAAATTTAATTCGGATTTTTTAAATTTAAATTGGGTCTTTTAAATTTATCATTTATTTTAATAAAATGCTTTTGAAGTAAAAATCTAAAGATAGTTTTCTATTTAAGATACATTATTAATTTAGTTTATTCAGCATGAAATGGAGCTTAGTTATGTAGCATGAAACTATATATTTTGCAATATTTAGATTTTTGGTAGACTCATCCAATGAATCCAAGCTCTACAAGCTGAGATAACATGCATTGCATTGATGCGTTCACACAATTTCACAGTAACCATGAGATAAATCATAGAACAAAGTTCAGAAATATTCTTTTATCCCATTGATTTGCAAATCTGTGTACACTACAAACTGTATGATTGTTTGAAGATAAATGCATCTATACCACCAGGTTCTAAGCGTGGGGAGGAAGGGTAAGCAATAAAAATGAAAGTGAAACCTAAGCAGCTTGTAAATATAACATTAAAGAGCGCCTGTCATTTCAGATCCTTCATGGCAGCGCCTGTTAGTGGGCATCCACTCACCTGCTGCCTGCCATGTCTCTCACCTTGTGTCACTGCTGCATCACCAGTTGTCCCATTAATGTGAATGGGACTGTCGGTGAGTCAACCGTGGATCAGACGAATAGCAGCTGTGGCAAGAGATGACACTTGTTCTTTAAAAGTTATGATTTAAATCAAGTTGAAGTTGATTTAAATCAAATCCACCCTCACCAGATCTTACATGCACATTGTAATTTACATGTTGACTACACATTTTATTCCCATTGGGTAGGACAAGCCTTTTATAGCACCTGATAACTTTAATATAGCTTGTATTGTGGCTTGGTTGACATTAGAAGAATAATTTGGGGTTCCAACTTGAACTGTGGTTTGATTTGAGGTGCTACTGACCAAGGCTTTGATCTTGAGATCATTTGAAAACCAGAAAGGAAGCTTGCCCTCAGATATGTAGATTCCTTCCTAGGTGTGGATTTATTATGAGGATATGATTTATTCCCTTATTTTAAAAGGATTGTATAGCACAGGGGTCGGCAAACTTAAATACTCAAAGAGCTACAAAGGTCCTAACCGGAAGCCCCACAGTTCAATTTTGGAGCCGACCAGAAGTCCGGTTATCCCACCATAGAGTCTCCTCCTAGTGCGACATCTTTTTTCCTCTACCTTTCCTAACCAAAAGCCTTATGAATTGTGGTGCCGACTGGCAAAAGGGAGCCACAGCAGAGGGTTGAAAGAGCCACATGCTGCTCCAGAGCCACAGTTTGCTGACCCCTGGTATAGCATTTGGTTGCAAAATGCAAAGCCCTGAATTTAATAGCTGTTCAGCCATCAAGTTTGCTGGAGGTTCACCAGTTGGTAACCACCTAAAGTCTAACTTCTAAAAGAAGCAGCAAAAAGTAAATATTCCAGAGCTGAATGCAAATATTCTTCCCAGAAATCTCTGATGCTATGCAAATACAACCTCAGCTCCTAGGTGCCTACCTTGCTCTACTTGACAAAATATCAGTCCTCATGAGCTGCCAGCAACCTCTGGTGCTATGCAAATGCAGTGCAAATGCAACCAGTTACTCTTTGTTTTTATAGTAATTTTATTAAAGTGTATAATTGCAGTGCTAAAAACTAATCCAAACTATAAAGAAAACTAGTGTAGAAAATAAAAATGGAAAAGAAAGAAAGCCATGTATGTGGAAAGTTTAAAAGTAGTATCCTTTCAAAACTTCAGACTGGATTTGAGAAAGATGACTGTTCCCTCCTCTACTAGAGTTTTGAACTGCAGGAGACTAGTTGTCTCCTTGTGAGTAACAGCAGTCTCAAGTACTTACCAGAGTTCTCAAGTCTTGTGTTTATCTGGTGAGGAATAATCAAAGAAGCTTGATGTCTCTTCATTCCACTGCAGTCATAGCTCTGTTTTTCACACAGGCATTTTCAGTCTACCATTTCTTCCACCAGTAGTCTTTTGTTTTATCCTCTTTGAATTAATTCTTATGGCATCCTCCAGCATGCTAATTCAAGGTTGAAATCGCTTTTTGAGTTCAGAAGCATACATATATTCATTATAAATTCAAGAAAATAAATAAACATTTAAAGGCATATAAAGATGTAAAATGCAAAAAGAAAAACCAAGCAATAAATACAGATGGCTAACCATGAAATAAATTCAGATGGCTAACCATGAAATCTCAAATAGCCAGGTTTACCACTGGAATAACATCTTAGTTTTCAAGTTGTTTCTGAAAGTTATAACATTTTCTTTACCAAGAACGTTGTTTTGGTCATTTTTTATTTCATCAACCCTTGCAATTGTACTTTCCAATTTGCAGATCACTGTTTACTTTGAGTAGTTGAAAGGAGACTCATACTGATAATATGCTAGGTGTTTGATTGAGTACATATATCGTATTTTCCACTAGAGGTCACAATATGCAAGTTCTGTGTAAGGAACCTTGTCTTACAGTTGTACATGTTGAAGTGGATATTGTGTATTATAGTTATGTACTTGAAATTATAATTATATTCACTATTTCTTTTTAGTTTAATAACAGTTTTTAAAGTTATTTAGATCTGTGTAAATCTAAGTGGATGACCAGAATAAAAGAAACCATAAGACAATTAGTTATACTGTATTTTTGTGTTCAGATTTTATGGATCACAGTTGAAATCATTTAGGAGTAATGTTGCTTATTACTTGTATTTTGATCCATTAGCCATGATGTAATATAGATCAGTGATGGCTAACCTTTTTTCCATCACGTGCCAAAAGCAGGAGGAGCGCAGGGGGGTACATAGTGCCCACACCCATAATGCTATGCGCACGACACCCCCACCTCCCGCTTTTGGTGCACTTTTTTTTGCCCTCCCTTGGCTCCAGAGGCTTTCTAGGAGCCTGGGGAGAGCGATAATAGAGGCCCAGAGGGTGAAAAACAGAAGGCTCCAGAGGGTGAAAAACGCCCCTACGGACAAACTGGAAGTCACTTCTGGGTTGCCCATAGGGCCATTTTTTACCCTCCAGAACCTTCAGGGAAGCTCCTGAAGGCTCCGGAGCACGAAAAATGGCCCTACGAGCAAACTGGAAGTCACTGTTCCTGAACTTCCAGGTTGCCCATAGGGCTGTTTTTCCGCCCTGGAGGGTGAAAAACGGCCTTAAAAGAAGGCCAAAGTCAGCTGGCCACCGCACGGATGTGCACTGGAGCTGATAGGGCAACGCCTCTTGTGCCGTAACAAATGGCTCTGTGTATCACCTGTTCGCCATCACAGAAATAGATGGTCCAAAAAAGGGCAAGACTTCTATATCTTTAATAGGAGTGCACAGATGAATTTACTTAGATATTGTTTGCATGATTATACATATCTTCGGAAGCTCCAATTCTATATTGCTGTTAAGGTGGAAAAGCTGTGACTTTAGTTGTCTTTCACTGTCTATTTTATAGATAGTGAATATAGATGTAGAAGGTAAATGGAGGTGCTTTTTTGTTCTTGTTTTTCTCCTTTCTGCCTTAATATGAATATGTATTTAAATTAGCCCTTTTAGTTCTGTAATTGGATATCTTAATCGGTATTCGGTATGAGTTGCTATGCATATTTTACTGTGTGTAAAAGGATGAGCAGAATGTTCATAGATAACAGTATTTTCATAGGTCAAACTAAATAATTTCTCTTTCAAGGAGGTAGCTTATTTATACAATTATTTGTAATTGTATAATTAAAAATAATTATTTTCAATTACAGTAATGGTGTGGGGTGGCATTTCTTTAGGGGGCCGCACAGCCCTCCATGTACTCGCCAAAGGTAGCTTGACTGCCATTAGGTACCGAGATGAGATCTTCAGACCCATTGTGAGACCATATGCCCTGTGCGGTTGGCCCTGGATTCCTCCTAATGCAAGACATGCTAGGCGTCATGTGGCTGGAGTGTGTCAGCAGTTCCTGCAAGACGAAGACATTGATGTTATGGACTGGCCTGCCCGTTCCCCAGACCTGAATCCAATTGAGCACATCTGGGACATCATGTTTCGCTCTATCCACCAACGCCACGTTGCACCACAGACTGTCCAAGAGTTGGGGGATGCTTTAGTCCAGGTGTGGGAGGAGATTCCTCAGGAGACCATCCGCCACATCATCAGGAGCATGCCCAGGCATTGTAGGGAGGTCATACAGGCACGTGGAGGCCACACACACTACTGAGCCTCATTTTGACTTGTTTTAAGGACAATACATCAAAGTTGGATCAGCCTGTAGTGTTTTTTCACTTTAATTTTGAGTGTAACTCCAAATCCAGACCTCCATGGGTTGCTAAATTTGATTTCCATTGATAATTTTTGTGTGATTTTGTTGTCAACACATTCAACTATGTAATGAACAAAGTATTTAATAAGAATATTTCATTCATTCTTATTTTTGTGTTCCCTTTATTTTTTTGAGCAGTGTGTGTGTGTGTGTATGTATGTATATATGTATATGTATGTGTATGTGTGTGTGTGTGTGTGTATATATATATATATATATATATATAGATATAGATATAGATATAGATATAGATAGATAGATATAGATAGATATAGATAGATATAGATATAGATAGATAGATAGATAGATAGATAGATAGATATAGATAGAGAGGAGGGGTGTCTCACTCGCCATCCTCGAGTGAGACCTTGCTGAAACGTTGCCAAGACAATCTCAATCTTACATGGGAAAAGACCCGAATAAAACAAGACCAGCATACCTACACCCGTGAAAATCTATGAATAAAAATAGATGATAGATAGATAGATAGATAGATAGATAGATAGATAGATAGATAGATAGATAGATAGATAGATAGATAGATAGATATTCAATGTTCTTGTACTGTTAGATAATTGAAATATCGGGTTTTTTTTCAAAATGACAAAAAGTAATGAAAATTGTAATGACAGTTCAAAGACAACACTGAAACAAACTTCTGTATAGTATTTCTGAACAAAAGAGATTTTTTTTGTCAAAAGTTCATTCCAGATATAGAATGAAGTAGGAACATTAGCTTTACTAACAGCAAGGAATAATTTACCTTACATTTGTAGGGCATTAAATTCATAGTATTTAACATAAAATATTTATTTTTCTCCTGTCTATGAACAGCATTTGTTTTGTACTAAAAAAAAAGATACTGTTGCACTTGTGTACATGCCTCTATTATCATGGAAGAACTACCAGAAGTTTATATAGCATATGGATTCATTACATTGTATTGTACAAATTCTTCAAAATGCATTCTTTGGAACAGGCAAGAGCACATATGAAGCAACCATCCATTGTTATATTTTCCTGGCTTGCACAGCTGTTTTGAAGCAGCTTCCAGCTGTCCCTTGGCACATGCAGAACCACTTTGTTTAGCAGCAACAATGGTATCAGCTTTCCAAGCAGCAAACAAGCCTGGAAAAGACATAGCTCCTTTAAGATTAAAGAAAAAAAGCTTTGGATTCCAATATTTTGAAAGATTTGCACATTTGTTTAATCTACATTTTTTCCATAATTCATATTAGGACATCAGTTTTAGGCAACTTTAAAAGAAAAGAAAAAAACTTTAGGCACCAAAAAAAATAATGTCTTCCTTCAGTTCCAAAGTAGGGGGCACTATAATGTTTAATATTTAAGACATGGGTTTGCATTCATCTATAGTTTAAAAGTAGAATTTGGACTATTCTGTAGGTACTGAAATTAGGCTGTGTCAAATATTTAAATGTTTCAGGATGCACCCAGGACTGCCCTGATGTCTCGTAGAATTGTTGAATTTGTTTATTTCTTCAATCTATGTTGGTGAGTTTGGGCCGGTCACTTTCTCCCAACCTTAGAAGAAGACAATGGCAAACCCTTTCTGCAATCTTGCAAAGAATACTGTAGGGACTAGTTGCCAGATGTCAAACACTGATTTGAAGGCACAAAATAAAAAGGGTTAAAACAAATAAAACAACTGCAGCAACTATAAGAAACAATAAAAATAATTCCACTGAAATAATATGAGCTCCAGATCATAACTTCTATATAACTTACAAGTTTATATTTTTAATTCTTCATTTCTTCTACTAAGTAATGTATAGCAGTCTGTGTCAATCTGCTGCCATTAAAAGGTTTATTATTTGCAATAGGAAAAATGATAATTGTGGTGTAGAAGACCTACCAAATCAAATCCCCACAACTCTGCAGTCTACCATGAGATCTCAGAGTCAGCCTTCAGAACAATCAACAATTTCTTCTAGCAAAAACCAACTTTCAGAAGTACATTCACTTATGGAAAAAGCAACCGAAATCCCAGAGAGGGTAATTTTCAATTTTGGTGTACTGCATTTTATGATGAAGATGTTTTTCGCATATAATATGACGTTATAGAAAACGTATTTTCAGAGCACCTGTAGTGGCAGGGCTGGACCAGTAGGGTAAAACAGGTCCCCAACCCCCCAGGCCATGGTCTACTACTGGACTTTGGCCTGTTCAGAACTGGGCCACATGAGTGGCGGGTGAATGCACATGCGCAGCTCCACTTGTGCAAGTGGCAAGTGCCTGCCACTCACATAGAACACCCCCCCCCCCTCCCGGCTGGGTTGTCAAGCCAGAAAGGTTGGGGACCGCTGGGTTAAAACATAGATATCAATCTATTATCCAAGATGTCTTCAGGGTTTACTGCCTGTCTTCCTATACCTCTATGCAATATAAATTCAAATCCAGACAGGTGAATGTGAATTCTGTCTGGATTACTAGTTTAAATCTTGTGATCATGGGTGGCATCTCAAGAGAGGTTGTTTAGGATGAAGTTATTTCTGTCATATAAAGAGTCGTTACCCAGTGAAAGAGGTTGAAAATATATCTTACTGAGTGGAATAGTCTTTGTTGAACTTGCTGGGAATAACGTTTTTGGAAGTCTTTGTTGGGGCTGGAGAATAAAAGCAACATGGATAGGGAGCAGTACTGTATTATGAGAGAGGAACTTTGTTAACAGAGTTATGAAATGTCTAGCAAGGGATATTTTATAATCCTCCCCATCCCCCTCTTAAGAACCAGTTTGGTCTAGTGCAGGGGTGTCAAACTCAAGGAAGGGCCGTGAGGTCCTTAGATCTGGCTCATAGGGCTACCCTGGAAACAGTGAAAGGCTTGCCCACAGTGCCTCTTTCATTGAAAATGGAGCTTGGGAGGGCTGTGTGCAGCCCTCCTGAGCTCCGTTTTTTCTGGCAGAGTGTTGCAGGAGGCTGTAGCAGCCAAAAACAAAGCTCAGGAGCCTGTTTTCTCTGGCAGAGCGCTCAGACCACCACAGGCGCCCCCGATACTAGTGATGTAAAACTGGCCATGGCCACCCTGGCCACACCCACTCCGGCCCCTTGAGGTTAAACACAACCCTGATGCGGCCCTCAATGAAATTGAGTTTGACACCTCTGGTCTAGTGGTTAAGGTTCCAGGCTAGAAAGTGGGGACGATGAATTCAAAAGTCCCACCGTAGTCATGAAAGCCAGCTGGATGACTTTGGGCTAGTCACTTTCTCTCAGTTCAGGTCAACTCACAGGATGGTTGTTACGGGAAAACAGGAAGAGGAAGATTTTACATGTGTTACTTGTAAAAACAATAAAGACAGGATACAAATAAATGACTCTTGGCAGTTTGCCTACTCTGAATAAAGAACAATACCAAGAAACAGATCATAGTCATTAAGAAGAGAGCAGAAACCAAATCAAACAACAACAATAACCTGTAGCCCTCAACTTATTATCACAATTGAGTCCGGAATTTTGATTGTAAGCTGTTATGGTCATAAACCATGTTATCACATAACCAGACTCAATTTTACAACTACTTGTACAATGGTCATTGAATTACCATGGTCATTTAGCAAATGATTTGCTTAATGCCTATGGCACAAAACCTGATCACTTGACTATGGGAGCTACAACTAGTCATAAATGCGAGGCAGCTGCAAAGCATCTGAATTGCTATCACATGATTGTAGAGGTGATGCAGCAATTGTAATTTGCAGGACAGGTTATTTGAGTCATCATAACTTTGGATGGTTGTTAAGCAATTGATTATGAGTCAAGGACTATCTGTACTCTCCTCCAGGGCCAGGAAGAACTGTTAGGTTTTCAGGGACTTTCAGAACATCCATACATGAGTTGACTAGCGCATGATGCAGTTGCATAAATATAGGAATATAAGGTATATTCTAAAAATATTATGGCAGTTATGGAAAAGAATTATCGTTGATCTCGTGCATTATTATTCTTTTTTTAATCTTTGCAAAATATGTAACAATATATTTACTTTTTTTTTTAGTTTACTCTTCCTAAAATAGAGGAATCAAGACCTGCTCAGCGAAAAAGACAGCTTCCAGAATGGATGCTGACAGCAGATCTAATGGTTTCAAGCCAGTCAATCTCAGCCTCTAAAAATGGTAAGTGTAGAGATAGATTTGCTGTGGAAGTCATCATGGCAGTTGCCTTTACTAAATTCTCCTTTTGGAGTTTGGAATAATAGAAATTCATTTACTTTTGCTTGAGATTCGATACTGTGTCAGCAGCAGAATTGAGATATGTAGTGAAGATACTCCACTGGGATCAGATAAGATCAGCATAATCAGGATTTTATACTATGTTAATTATAAAGTATTGTTGCTGCTTTCAAATTTGGAACCAACTAACTATATTTCTAATTACCATATTTTCTCTGAGTATAAGACACATCTTTTTCCCCCCCAAAAGGGGGTGAAAGTCTGGATGTGTCTTATACACTGAATACAGCATTTTTGGCCTCCTGAAACCTGCCCCCTTCACAAAAATGGACGTGCAGAGGGTTTGGGAGGCCTGCAAAGTGCTCCTGGGAGCTGGGGAGGGCAAACATGAGCAAAAAAAGAGCTTTTTTTGGTTATTTTTTTGCTGTAGAGGAGCACTCTACAAACCTTCTAAAGGCTATGCATGCCCCTTTTGGGGCAAAAAACCCCACCCGTTTCCGCAAAAAACTGGCCATTTTTTGCTTGTTTTTCCCCCCAGTCCCCAGGAGCATTTTGCAGGCCTCTCAAACTCTGCATGCTTCATTTCTCACAAAAAACGAGAGGTGCAGAGACTTTGGGAGGTCTGTAGAGTGCAAACACTTAAAAAAAAAATTACCTTTTCAAAATCTTGGTGTGTCTTATACTCTGGTGTGTCTTATACTCCGAAAAATACGGTAAGTAATGAAATGGTAATCAGACATCATATTGATGGTGGCTCCCATTAAAAAAACACACACTATTATTAGTTGATTTTCTTCATCTGAAAAAGGTTTTGAAAGACTAATGAGCAAAGATTCTTCAATAATATATTCTGTTTGGTATAGTATAGAGAGAGAACAAAACAGATTGTATCTGAATTCTAATGTATTGGTAGGATTATTTTAAATGTAAACTGCATTTTAAGAATTTTAGTACATCATAAATTAAAATAATAGTTATTTAAAGAGAAGTTGTAAACTCTATGTCCTTTAACATGCATACATCAGATTGTATAATTAATATTACTAGAGTGTTTACACATGGAAAAAATTATAGAATCTAAGTCTTCTAAATAATTGCTTGTCTGCCTAGGTAAGGATGTATTTAGTAATGACTGTTTATGTAAGTTACATTGAGCAGTCTTAAAGTCTTAAAATATTTTATTTTCTTATTAATATGATAATCCAAAACCAAAATGCACTTTTTTATTTTGCTTTGAATGGAGCCAATATACTTTCCATATTTTGTAGCTTTTGTTATAACCAAGGAGAATGGTTCTGAACATTGATAATAAAAAAGACAGTTAAAATTAGTATGCAATAGTTGCTAATATTTTCTTTTAGAAATAAATCTCTGACGATGAAGAAGAGGGGAAGAATTTTGTCACTGATACAGTAGGGTATAATTTATTCATTAAAACATGCTCTTTAAGTAACTAAAGACATACTGCTGAAAATTGTGTCTGTTACAATGATGAATGATTTATTACTTACTACATGTAAGTATTGATGGAGTAGCGTAACCTATAATAGTATTTTTCTACCTTAGCAACTTTAAAATATGTGACTTCAACTCTCAGAATTCCCTAGCCAGCATGAGGTACACTGACTATAACATACACATATTGTTATACATATAACTATTACATACATATAGACATATAACTATATTATAATTATGTGTATATATTTTGTTACACACACACACACACACACACACACACACAAACAGATTTTTGGGTTCTTTGGTAAAACATTGTTTTGTGCAGACTGAGAAGCCTGTACTTCTTAGTCATTACATTACGTCTTGTCTCATATTAGATATATTATTCAGTTTTCCATAGTATTTTACAAATCTATAGAATTGCTCTTAAATAATCACAATATTGATATATTGTAATTTACTTTTTAAAAAATATGACAGTATGAAATATTTGTAATTTGTGCAGTTATTCATAGCTTAAATGATAAAATTGTTCTGTTCAGCAGTTGTTTTTTAAATCAAAATAGGTAGTAATGAAGAAGAAAAGCCAGGTGTAAGTAAAAAGCAGAAAATTCTTGAAAGTGAAGATTCTGCCCTTCTAAAAGAGGTATTTCCTATTTTTTTCAATTAATACTTCAAATTATTAATATAGAAGCACAAGGTTATACTGGGTTTTGCTCTTCTGTTCATAGAAATGCACAATACTTATAAGGAAGAACCTTATCAGTAGAGCAGCAGCTATCAAATATCAGGGCCAAGAGGGTGATTTGGTGCAGTCCATATGGTTCATCCTGTTTTCTATTTCTGAAGCATATAACAGCCAATTCATTCATTTCAAACATGTTCCTATTTTCTTCTGATGTTTTGTGCTATTTTTTTTCTCATGAAAGTCACTGACTGCTTTTCATGCTATTGGAAAAGTCAAAAGTGAGGTATACATTCAGATACAGGCAGAATCTCTTTTTCTATCCTAATGCTGGTGACCCCCATGGAAAGGACTGGTGAAAAAGGCTCATGGACCATTGCCTAGCATCACTGAAAATAGCATTTCATTTCATATAATTGACCATTATATTCTTACATACTAGTCCTTAGTGAAGCTGTGAGTTACAATAATGCTTTTGGTTTTAGGAAGTCGATTATTTACTAATTATGTCCAAATTTCATAGCTCACATGGCTCTATGATGCAGATATACAGTAGTCAGATACTTTTTCAATAATAAAGACTAGTTTGGTCGCCATGATGTAGAAAAGATGTGGAGACTCTAGAAAGAGTGCAGAGAAGAGCAACAAAGATGATTAGGGGACTAGAGACTAAAGCATATGAAGAACAGTTGCAGGAACTGGGTATGTCTAATTTAATAGAAAGAAGGACTAGGGAAGACATGATAGAATGTTCCAATATCTCAGGGGTTGCCACAAAGAAGAGGGAGTCAAAACTATTTTCCAAGGCACCTGAGGATAGAACAAGAAGCAATGGGTGGAAACTAATCAAGGAGAGAAGCAACTTAGAACTGAGGAGAAATTTCCTGACGGTTAAAACAATTAATCAGTGGAACAGCTTGCCTCCAGAAGTTGTGAATGCCCCAACACTGGAAGTCTTTAAGAAGATGTTGGATAGCCATTTGTCTGAAACGGTATAAGGTTCCCTGCCTAGGCAGGGGTTGGACTAGAAGACCTCCAAGGTCCCTTCCAACTCTGCTATTGTATTGTATTACATTGCATTGTATTGTATTGATATCTTAAGATTAAAATAGTGTCATGGAGTCTACTTTATAAAGTATACTACACTTAATAAGATTTATATCCAAATTAAGCCATTATAAGTACAACATCTTTTTAGTAACTGGACCTAAGAAAAGCATCTCAGTTGAGAAGGGAGTTTGGGAACCACAGTTCCCTCAAAGTGGCAAATCCACATTGATTTTAATAATTTTACAATGTAGGTAAGAGAGTCCTTTTTTAAGGATTGCCACATTTTCAGTTCTTACTACTATGTAGTCATGAGGGAGCACTTTGAGTTGTGTGTTTTTCCCCAGCCCATATTTAGAGATGTGTATAGCCAATATGAGAACTTTAAATGTCCACACTTTTATTAGATAGTGGGAATTATTCTTGAAATTATTTTGCATACAGGCATTCCATTGACTTCCTTTTTCTCTTTGTTCCTTAAACTAAATTCTGCTTATGACTATTCTCTTCTATCCAAATTCATTTTTTAAATCTGAATTTCAAGATCTTACCATCAAAATCAGTCTTTCTTCTCATACTTTACACTATCTATTTTGCTTAGGCTTATGATTTTACCATCTTGCTTTTTGGGGGACAGGGTGTTTGCTAAATTTCAACTTTGTTTTAATTCTCGCATTTTTCCTTAATATTGTTATCTTTTATTCTCTAGCATTCATTGTCCTCATAATTGTTTTTCTTTGTGTACATAAGATCCATGAGGCAGGGACCAGTCTAATTTTGATTGTGTTATGTCATGTATACTGATTAATTAATCTATCTTAATTAAACTCTGTTTTCACATAAATAAATTATAATCTGTTTCATGAACAATTTCATACCAATTTCCACATGATATAGGGGGTATTTACTAAAGATGTTGCAAAGAAAATGCCAAGGAATGGAAGTAAAAAAATATCTCAGAAACTTGAAAGTTCGTTTGAGCAATTTAACAATGAGCTGGATGATGAAGAGATGGACCTGGACCTCAAGTCAGATGAACAAGCATCTCAGTCTGCTCAAGTACATACAACAAATATAAAAGAAAACAAATTGGAGATTGCTAATGCTAAAACCAGGCAGGTTTATAAGGAAAAGCCATCACAATCATTACTCAGTCAGGATGATATTCAAGAGACTACTCTGAATCAGACTACTGGAATAGATACTTCAAATATAACCGAAAGTCAGGAGATGCAACAGAGGATTTCCCAGAGGATTTCTTGTCAGTATGGGAACAGCTGCTACAGGTAAAATCAAGTTGTTAAACTTCTAAATGACAATTTACTGGTGCATAACCATATAGTGTAGACAGGGGTTCTATTTATTTTATTTATATTTAAATTCTAAGCTGTTGACATACTGTATTTTGCTTATGTTAAATACTTTGCTGAGTTAATGCAAAAAGTAACTTTATAGCACTTAGACTTATTTATCACTCCAAAGTGCTCTCTGAGTGGTTTACAAATGTCAGCATATTGCCTCCAACAATCTGGGCCCTTATTTTACTGACCTCAGAAAGATGGGAGGGGGGAATCAATTTTGAGCTGATCTAGATTGAACTCCTGGCTATGGGCAGAGTTAACCTGCAATATTGCACTGTAACCACTACACCACCAGGGTTCGTGTAAGTCATACAACTTGAGAGTTTGTTTGGCATACTTCCATTTGTTTCCATTAATACTGTTCACCTTCTCACATTTTTAAAAGAGAAATTTAAGTTCTTTTAATATGTAATTCCAAGATCCTTTCCTCAGAATACTGTGTATCTAAGAATTGAAATACTGTGATGCACAGCCTACTCTGTATTATGAGTATTGCAGTTATATGACATGTGCTGGATGTGTAATTACATGTGTAATACTGGAAAAGAATGTCAGTGTTCAGACAAAGTATTGTGCAGGAATTTTTAAGAAAATCTATATTCTATAAATGATTGGGGAGTGTAATTTGTTCATATAGTATGCACAGAGTTTAAACTTACCTCTGCTCCAGAAGTTTAGACTGGAAGAAATGGTATGCAAAACAAAATATTGAAATATGATGGTTCTCTACTTATTTTCTTTTTCAATGGATTGAATTTCTTTGTATTTAAGTACAATGACAATAAAGATTATACTATACTATTTCTTTATAAAGAAACGTGGAAAATAACTATCTATGCAGGTAATCCTCAATTTAAGAACATTCATTTAGGGGGTCTTAAATCATGTTTTTTGGTGCAGTTATTAATTCTGAATAATTAATAACAGCACAAAAAAACATCATAAGATCAGTCTTTTTTTAAGGACTATTTTTTGGGGACTATTAGTATTGCAGTGTCCCTGCATCTGATCACCATTTAGGCACTGGGATGTATTTATGACAGTCATAGCAACCTGGTTTCATGTGGTTGCTCTTTGCAGCCTTCCCAGCTGGCTTCCAACAGGCAAAATGAAGGGGGGAAGCCACATAATGACAGTAGCAAGAAAGGTTGTAAGGTTGGTCAAGATCATAGCAATATAGCAATAGCAGTAGACTTATATACCGCTTCATAGGGCTTTCAGCCCTCTCTAAGCGGTTTACAGAGAGTCAGCATATTGCCCCCNTGTGTCTTATACACTGAATACAGCATTTTTGGCCTCCTGAAACCTGCCCCCTTCACAAAAATGGACGTGCAGAGGGTTTGGGAGGCCTGCAAAGTGCTCCTGGGAGCTGGGGAGGGCAAACATGAGCAAAAAAAGAGCTTTTTTTGGTTATTTTTTTGCTGTAGAGGAGCACTCTACAAACCTTCTAAAGGCTATGCATGCCCCTTTTGGGGCAAAAAACCCCACCCGTTTCCGCAAAAAACTGGCCATTTTTTGCTTGTTTTTCCCCCCAGTCCCCAGGAGCATTTTGCAGGCCTCTCAAACTCTGCATGCTTCATTTCTCACAAAAAACGAGAGGTGCAGAGACTTTGGGAGGTCTGTAGAGTGCAAACACTTAAAAAAAAAATTACCTTTTCAAAATCTTGGTGTGTCTTATACTCTGGTGTGTCTTATACTCCGAAAAATACGGTAAGTAATGAAATGGTAATCAGACATCATATTGATGGTGGCTCCCATTAAAAAAACACACACTATTATTAGTTGATTTTCTTCATCTGAAAAAGGTTTTGAAAGACTAATGAGCAAAGATTCTTCAATAATATATTCTGTTTGGTATAGTATAGAGAGAGAACAAAACAGATTGTATCTGAATTCTAATGTATTGGTAGGATTATTTTAAATGTAAACTGCATTTTAAGAATTTTAGTACATCATAAATTAAAATAATAGTTATTTAAAGAGAAGTTGTAAACTCTATGTCCTTTAACATGCATACATCAGATTGTATAATTAATATTACTAGAGTGTTTACACATGGAAAAAATTATAGAATCTAAGTCTTCTAAATAATTGCTTGTCTGCCTAGGTAAGGATGTATTTAGTAATGACTGTTTATGTAAGTTACATTGAGCAGTCTTAAAGTCTTAAAATATTTTATTTTCTTATTAATATGATAATCCAAAACCAAAATGCACTTTTTTATTTTGCTTTGAATGGAGCCAATATACTTTCCATATTTTGTAGCTTTTGTTATAACCAAGGAGAATGGTTCTGAACATTGATAATAAAAAAGACAGTTAAAATTAGTATGCAATAGTTGCTAATATTTTCTTTTAGAAATAAATCTCTGACGATGAAGAAGAGGGGAAGAATTTTGTCACTGATACAGTAGGGTATAATTTATTCATTAAAACATGCTCTTTAAGTAACTAAAGACATACTGCTGAAAATTGTGTCTGTTACAATGATGAATGATTTATTACTTACTACATGTAAGTATTGATGGAGTAGCGTAACCTATAATAGTATTTTTCTACCTTAGCAACTTTAAAATATGTGACTTCAACTCTCAGAATTCCCTAGCCAGCATGAGGTACACTGACTATAACATACACATATTGTTATACATATAACTATTACATACATATAGACATATAACTATAT